GATATTTCTCCACCAGTTTTTTTTTTAGAAAACTTTTTTGTCGGCTTTTTCCACTTTTATAAGGATATTTCTCCACAAGTTGATTAAACTTTGGCTTTACTGATTTCGGAACAACAAAAAAAACATTTAAAAACGAAAAAGTACAAAAACCCAAGATATTTGTTTTTCAAATATTCTAAAGATCTGACCTTCTAGATATTTGTTTTTAGATTGGTATAAAGATAATTTGTTTTGTTATATTTATACAAAAAAAAAATATTATAGTAGGCTTTAGTAGGCCGAAATTTTATTAAAGACTATGACAATGACACAATTTTCTTATTTCGCTAACTCATAAGGTAATTTCCGTTTTTTTATTTAGTTTCTCTTAATTTGTATATAGATAAGAAAATTATTGTAAGAGAAAATATTAAATAGTTAATTTCTTATATATATACGAGTTCTAGAGTCAACAATATGTGCTCTTTTTCGTTTATTGTTTTTCATCTCATCGATCCTAATGTATTTTCCTCCATTGGTCTTGCCGTAGGTTTCATCTTTGTTATGGTGAGGKTCTTTGCTATCGAGGTCCGATGATATACAGAGTCATACACTTTTGATGTTTTCATCGCCTATATTTTAGTTTAGCTCATGAATAGTTTTTCTCAATATTTATGTTTGAATAGCTTTTTGATTTTTTTTTAGTGTGATTTGTTTATTGTATATGATATGCTATGTTCATGATTGTTTAAAAAATTTCTGCAATTGTAAACCTAATTTTGTGATTGTGTCTTCTTTCATTTTATATTACGAAGAAGAAGAAAGCTTCTAACCAATATCAAAAGCAAAAAATATTAAAAGATAATTAAAAACATGTATATTTAAAAAATTATTCCTTTACATTAAAATTTTTCTAAAACCAATGTCCCTCACATTTAAAAAAAAAATCAGGAGGTCGAGATCTCTAGAACACGAGTTCTCGCATGATAGAATATCAACAATGGTAAATGCAAAATAAGACATTCTTATTCAATTGATTTTGTTTATTATTTTTTTTTATAGTAAATTTTTTTGGGAAATTAGCACAATAACTAACAAAAAAAACTATAATTCAATAACTAACTAATTGATGAAAATCTAATGGCTGTTATAAATCATAGTGGATTGTCATAACCAGTTCTGGTCCAGTATAG